TGACGTGTTACTAGCGTCACGTGACCCCAGCTGTCGTAACATTAATGTTTACTTGATCCTCCTTTTTTAGTTGCATATCTATGTTTCTACGTTCCTCACACCCTTCTTGCAATATTTATGGCTACAAGAGGATGATGACCTGCTTATTTATCTTTTTTTTTATTTAATATGTATTTTTAACATATAACCAGAAAGCTGTCACCGCATTCAAGATCTGAAAACAATATCCCTATATATTCTTCTTCTAAACTACTCTAATCATTAAACCTTTGCAACTTGTATGTCACTACAGTAGCGTGCATAATATATTAAGTACGTTACTGTCAAGATGAATCCCCCATAAAACTACATATGCAACATGTGAGATGTAATTAGGAAATGAATATTAACGAGAAGAACAACAATAAAATGAATACGAGCATGCAAACAGTCTACATGTATTCACAAACCACTGCAATTCCAACTACAGTTATGACCTCATAACCTCGGTACATGTTTAATTACTTCAAAATGTTACTTAGTTAATACTAATTTTAAGAAAAATGATATTGTGACCAAGATGGCTATCCGAAACATTTGTATTTTAAATTAAAATATTTGTGCCTCATGTTACCAATTTATTCTCTATTTCGTTTTAATGATACAAATGTTTTTTTCTGTTTCTCTGTGTTACCGAAACGTTATCGATAAGCTTCCAGGCAGAACGAAACTTGTTTGATTTTTTTTATCTAATGTGCTTAAAAAAGCAGTTAATATAAATCAAAAATACAAGGTAAGTAAAATACATATATAGATGGCATAAAACACTGAAGAAGAGAACCTTTCAATGTTCCTAACAAACACTTTGTTCACTTATTTTCATACATTTTAAACGTTATAAACTGTACATTAACAAAAAATGTACTTTCATATACAAATATAATCACAAACTTGTTACTAAACCTAGTCATAAATTAACAACAGTGGCCTACGTTGTTCTATACATATCCGGTGGTAAATTAATTGTTATAATATTCATTATAATTTACTTTGTTGTTTTTCTTGGATTTTTTTAATTATTTGTTTTCTTTTAACTACCCCCCCCCCCTTTAGTGGCTCAGTGTAAGTCTATGGGCCTATAACCCTAAAGTCGGGTTACCCAGATAGACCATTGTGTAACTTTACACTTAACTACAAACAAATATATCTTCTAACTAAGCTTTATAGACTCGCTGCTACATCAAATACGTAACTCTGGGTTGAATTACGTTTTAAGAAGGATGTGATGAATTACTTTTCATTTATAAGTCGGGGAATGCGGGCTTGAGTGTTAACTATAGAAAAAGATAATTTTTTTTCACGTCCTATACTCATAATAGAGAAGTAAATTGAAATTATGCATAAAGTCGTAATTGTTCGTTTTACAAGACTCGTAATTGGTGGCATCTTACCATCGGAATGAATGTCAAAATAATTTTAAAGATCCCATAAAACAATGATCATTACATAATTTACTTCCATTCACAACATTACAATGTTATTTTCCACAAAAGTATGTTTATGGCGACAATCAGTACCCAAAGGATTGTCATACTGCATCTTTTATTTAAAATACATTTATTTTACTTTTAACATTCATTACATGTTCAGGTTTATTTTAAAATATCCATTTGTTGCTAGTAAACATTACAGGTACTGAAAATACATCTATATATAGGTCAACCAACGACTACGCATATTGTTAAAATTTTTATACATATTTTGTTTTAAACTAATAGTAATAGGAGCGCTCACAGTCACACGACAATTGATCATTAAACAAAATGAAAGTTAGATTAAAACACATTTATCGGAACTTGTTAAGAAAAGTAGACACAATTTAGAACACAAATTGTAAAGGTCAAAAGTTCTTTCTCGTAAGTCTCCTGATAGGTCAGCGGTAGGTTTATGGATTTACAACGTTAAAACTATGGGTTCGATTATCGCGGTGGACAGTGTGCAAATAGCTGTCTTGCACTAAAATTAAGTAACAATAAACAAATATTTCTCATAAGTTTCTGAAAGTTAAAATTATTTTGCTTGACCTTTCAGTTATCACAGAAATGCACTTGTTATTGAAATTCTAATAGTTTTATCTCTACGTATTTTTATTTGTTTTGTTTTTTTCTTCATTAAATGTTAAGTTTTATTTAGGCCAATTAGGATCTGCCCAATGTGATTCAGATGTCAGAGTAAAACTGTAAAAGCGCGAACAATTTTACTTAGCTGGGGATAAACGGAGGAAGGAGCTAGGCCTAAAAAGACTGTGCCCAAATAGTGTCATTGTTTTCTTCCCAGTTTTCACACTTGTCAACGTTAGAAAATAATGCAAGTCTCTGGAGAAAAGATATGAACTTAACTACATTCTACCTGCAAACTCTTGTTATCCTGCACGTTGCTCCTTCAAAAATATAGAAACACTTAAACTCTCTCTTTTGCCGGACACTTCTTTCGCTAAGCCTTCCCAGCATAATCGATATGTCTTACATTCTGCGTTACCACTGTTGTGATGTTGAGCATGCGTGTTCAGGCTTAGTATGGTAAGCGACAAATCCATGCACCGTTTCGTGAATAGATGAAAATAGTTTGTTGATTTTATTGAAAACTCTTACAATTTTAGTATCTTGTCTCATTTTATTTATTTTTAAACACATAAGCTTACATTATGAAAATGAAATTTTCTACAGCATACTATAAAAATCTGCAAAGGAATAAAAATCGCTCATGGAGAAGTGAGACAATTAGAAAATACATTTCTATATTAACTAAAATTCTTGGTCGCATCTTATAGGTTATTTCAATGAAAAGCCCCCAGTGGCACAGCCGGTATGTCTCCGGATTTACAACGCTAGAATCCGGGTTTCGATACCCGTGGTGGATAGAGCACAGATAACCCAATGTGTAGCTTTGTGCTTAATTACAAACAAACAATGAAAAAAAAAAGAAAGCAAACTAGAATAAACATAACAATATTAAAATTTCTGCCTATATGTTAATACGAAAAAATACTTAAACTCACAAATAATATGTTAACCATAGTTTATATATTAAGACATAGCGGGTGTTTTCTAAGTGCAAAGCTACACAATGGGGTATCTGCACTCCGTCCACTGTAGGGAATCAAACTTCTGTTTTTTACGTTGTAAGTCCGGAGACGCCCCCCAGTGGCACAGCGGTATGTCTGCGGACTTACAGCGCTAGAAACCGGGTTTCGATACCCGTGGTGAGCAGAGCACAGATAGCCCATTGTGTAGCTGTGTGCTTAACTTCAAACAAACAAAAAAGTCCGGAGACTTACCGCTGACCCACTTGGGATTTTTTTCAAACACACTAGATAATGACATACTTCCTTTAAAGGGTGTTAGTAACAATGTTAATTCTTAAGAAGAGATAGTTGTGATATTCCCATTTAAAGAATGTATCTGTTATTTAGTAGTGATTAGATGGTTTAAAAAAGTTAGTAAAACTTATAATGATACACTTTTATAAAGGGTGCTAAAAACAATGCATTGGTTACGATATTCGTTTTTAAACTGTTGGTAGCAATCCAGTTGAATAAAAAAGTTGGTAGTGATATATGGTATGTTTAATCACACAGAACTGTTAGTCAAAATCCTTTTCCTTTTTTATCTTTTTAAAAACGACAGCAGAGAATTATGCATCACATGGCAATTCTGTAGTATTTTCAGGAAAACTGATTTCTCCAAAAAGTGTATAAGATAGGTCCACTATATAACGGAAGGTTTGGCAAGTATATAACGATGTAATTCTGAGTTCCATTAAAACTGAGTGTTTCACATCAATGCTACATTCCACTAACTTATTGGCTTTGTTCTTCCAAACAGTACTGATGAGCCGTAATTTCTATGAAACAAATCTGTTGCAGCGGGAGTAACGAATGAATGAATAGATTAGGCCTCTACATCATATTTCCGTCATTGAAATTCACGTTTTGGTAAAGAAAAGAAATTAACAAACAAATACATAACCAGTTAGTCTACAGAATAACAAGGGATGTTTAATTGTGATAATATGTCACATGTTATCCAAATACCTAAAGTATTTTAGGTTATTAATGGTAATAAAGGATTATAACTATAAATCAAACAAATAAGAGAGACTGTAACCTCAAGATATCACCTGACCTACCATTGGAGAATACACAAAGTGCAACTGTGCAGCTATACCCTCTCTCTACAGGCAGAACAGGTGTTATCTCAAGAGTTTGTTTGTTTGTTTTTGTATTTCGCGCAAAGCTACACGAGGGCTATCTGCGCTAGCCGTCCCTATTTAGCAGTGTAAGACTAGAGGGAAGGGCAGCTAGTCATCACCACCCACCCGCCAACCTATTGGGTCGTACTCCTTTTACCTAACGAA